ATTCAAATAATTACTATTACTTAACGCAATGGAAGATATTATGCAAGAAATTGGGCCAACAGCTAAAGTACCTGTCCATCGGTGGGCTGACCGCTTTGGATCAGTTGGCGATCGATATATTATTAAATTATTGCAATAATTTAGATGAACTTCGCATCAACAACGAAATCGATATTATCTCCTATTTATCTATAATTAGACAAACGGTTAAACGGATTCATATCGACTGCGAGACCGGCATTGGATTAGATTGTATATCCCTTTTGGCGTTTAGACACTATGCAGAGAAAGTCATACATTTAGGTATATATTCGCAATATTTTGTCAATTCTTTGCATCTATACATCGGATATTTTTTTTCTAACTTTTAATTATGTTATGAATTTTAATTCACAAAATACTATGTGAGTAAGTAATTGAAAGTAAAATAATATAATAACTAAATTGTGAAAATGAATAGTAATAGTAAATACTGTACCGTAATAGTGTAAAAGATCGTTAAGCATTTTTTTTAATTTCAATTATTGATTTAAGTTATGTCATTAGGATAATTATAAAATTGTGAGTTGTTTACAAATTATATTTATCTATCACAATTGCTTACATTAATGTTAACACTAATTGAATGTCGTTATAATGAAAAATATATTTCTGAGAAAATGAGGATAAAATGCTCCATTTAATAATTAACCAAATTATGGCTCATTTATATCTAGGTTTTAATCTAATTATTTTTGAATATTAATAAATTAATTCTAAGAATTAGTATAGGTCTACAGTAAGCAACTATTATATGTTGTTTCAATAATTATTTAGCATTAATTTATATATAAACAATTGCATAAAAATTATAAAATTTAAATCCAGACTTTCATCTCAAATATTGATTCACAAATATGTCCAAAATATCTGGTCATTCACTCCATTAGTAGAGAATATTTGTTGAAAACATTTTTTATCTATTTTGCTCTAATAATTCTCTTGTAAGGGACGCGTACTGTATGGTCAAGCACTTGATGGTCGTCCAGCCATCATTGGGAGCCGACCTTTTGCTGAGATGGTCGCACCGGAACTCAATGGCGTGTAACACGAGTTTCTGTAATTGTGGTAATTGTCTGATAATCTCATCGACCGATTCTCTCCTTCATCCTCTCACTCTATCATTGCTCTGTCAAACATATAAAAAGATAAAAATATACAGCATTTCGATAGAAAAATCTAATTACAGTAAATACTGAATGTTGTGTTTGTGTTGACACATAGGAAGGGTAGACGTGGAGCCGGAGCTCATCGATTCTGTCATATCGACGATTGGCAGCAATTTCTCAAACCTAAAGTGTCTGTCAATACGACTGCGAAACTTCGACATCGATGTGTCCACACCCGCGGACTTCCTCTTTGATCAGTTGGAAGAGTTGAGCCTCCAGTTCGTCAACGGCAACGTCGACCTCCCTTTCCAGCGTATTATAGCCCTGGGCTGGACGACCATCAAGTGCTTGACCATACAGTACGCGTCCCTTACAAGAGAATCGGTCGATGAGATTATCAGACAATTACCACAATTACAGAAACTCGTGTTACACGCCATTGAGTTCCGGTGCGACCATCTCAGCAAAAGGTCGGCTCCCAATGAATTTTATCATATTTTCACGATTGCACTAAAACTCATAATAATAATTATTATTCATTTATATATTTGCATATGTTATTTAATAATATTTTGTGTTTGCATTATAATTTATAATAACTGTAGGTATAAATAAATACTGTATAAATAGAAGTGATAATGAATTGATTTAATTAAATGAATAGGAATATAGCATATAATTAACTACCATATGATAGAAGTTGGAGTATGAGTATAGCATGTGTAGTAAATCCTAAAAATCAAAACAACTATCAAACTAACTCAAACTGACATTTATTTTTTGACACCGATCATTTTATGTACTGTACGTTTAATTAGTCATGCACGTACAGTTATACTTGACATTTCATATATGAGGCAATTTATATTTGAGAGCCTATTAGCACGCCAGGCACTCATCCCATGATTTGATTACTATTGGAACTGAAGAATATTCTGTAATAGTCTGTAATTCTGTATGCGATGCACAGGTATGGGCACCGGCTGTGCGTGGAGTGCGGGCGCCACTGTTGGAAAGCCATGAGTCGTCTAACAAAACTGAAACATTTAAAACTTCATCGCATTATAATCGACGACGAGATCTGCGCCGCCATCCAAACGATGAGTGAATTGCGTTCACTAGACCTCCACTACTGCTCCAACGTTAACGAGACTATAGTCGATGTTTGCGCCCAATTAGCCAAACGGATCCCCCGACAGAAGTTCACACTCTGTATAGTCTCGCGAGGATTCCTATCCTTTCACAACAATTATAATAAAAATCTTATTCTCGACATTAAAGTCGCCGCTTGAATGCAATTATCAACAAAAATATTTATTATGGATTTTCTCACACCAA